GTTTTTAGGCCCCATAGACCTTAACAAATTTTACCCACCTTGGAAGGATGGAAGGCTGAATCATCCTTGAGTGGGTCAGAATCAAACTCCATATTGTGGGCAGAGTTGGTCTTCAACACTGCATTCTAACCACTGGGAAGGAAGGAAGGAAGGAAGGAAAGAAGGAAGGAAGGAAGGAAGGAAGGAAGGAATAGAACTTAGACTTATATCCCGCTTCACAGTGCTTTTACAGCCCTCTCTAAGCAGTTTGCAGAGGCAGCCTCTTGCCCCCAACAATCTGGGTCCTCATTTTACCCACCTCGGAAGGACAGAAGGCTGAGTCAAACTTGAGCCTGTTGAGATTCGATCTGTTAAATTGCAGGCAGCCGGCAGGCAGCAGAAATAGCCTGCAGTACTGCACTCTAACCACTGCGCCACCACAGTTCTTATAGCCATTGTTTAGTGACCAAAGTTACAACAATGCTGACAACAGTGACTTATGACTCGTTTGGCACTTAATGGCCAATGCATTCACATGATCCAAATGCACAACGGCTCATTTATGATGTGATTGTCCGACCATATCATAAATGTGATCCATTTGCAACCTTCCGAGATGCTTCCAACAAGCAGTGTCAATGGGGGAAGCTGGGTTCCTTTAACGACCAATGGGAGGGGGAAGGATTGTCAGTCAGGCAAGGATCATTTAACAACAGGGACAGACATTCTGGTCCCTATTGCGGTTGTAAGTTGAGGATTAGCCGGGGTCCATCAGAGATGGCAATTGTTCTGGGGCACTGCTGGATGTGTCCACACAACCCTGGTTGAAAATCCTCCTTCACACGAGAGGCATGGATGGAGGAAACAACTCCTCGCCTTATAGACAATTGGACGACTCGGGTGGGGGAAGACCTCCGTGGATCGTGCCCGGCAAAAGTAACTCCTTGGTGTATCTCTCCTTGACCCACACTTTAATTTGCTCCTTCCCAAATAGAGTGTGGGTTGTGTCCCTCCGAAGTGCTCCAGCATCCATTCGACAAATCCACAGGGAAATATGGAATTCAGAACTAGTGGAAACGGCCATCTATCCAAGCGCTTGATGGAAACTTAAATCTTCCTTGTGCTGCCCAACCAGTCAATGCATAAATCAGTTCTTATTTCCACAGCAGGAGCAATAAAACTCACAGACGAGAGGCAGTGATAAATGATGTTAGCATTGATTCCCTTCCTCCTACATTATTGATCGCCATGNGGGGGCTGTCCCAAGAGAGTAAACAGCCTGAATGCATAATATTTTGTTGGAAATAGCAAATCATCGCTTGATGACATTCCGTATACAGAGCAAACAGAGGGGAGGGGAGCAAGGGAAAAAATTGCCCTATTTTTTTAAAAGCAAAGAGAGAAGAACTCGGTTTGGAATTGCACCTATTAATCAGCCTTGGTTTTACAATAATGTGTGACATGTTGAGTTTCCCATGGGTAGATTGGAGAATCGGGTACGTTTGTCATCTTGTTATATATCCATTAATTAATTAATTACAATTATGCCAAGTTTGGTAGCAGCTGATATGATGTATTTGTTCTTTCTCTGTCCGTCTTATCTGTTTGGAGGACATCGGCGGCTTGGATCACAGTTAGGGTGAAGCCATTCTTTATTGAACCACAATGTATTGAATAAGCCATAAATGGCTGGGCTTATGCAACACATTAAGTTGAACCCAGTTAATGCCAGCGTTATCTCAAAGTCATCTGTTAACACTCCAGATTTAGGGGTTTGTGTGTGTGTGTGGATCCATGGATCTGCAGGTTGTAAAATTACAGTTGGGGGAAAATGGTGGATTTCATATAGAATCCAAGTTTCTAAACTTGGTCTATAAAGGCACACCAAATGAATTATAACCCAGCCTGCCATGGCTGGTAAAGAAAGGGAGAAACTCGGGCTGTTGGGCACCCCAAGGCCAATATATCTGCTGTCATTCCATCCTGTAAATAATTCCCTCCTTCTGCAGTCAACCTGCCTCTTTGATCTAATGCTCCCTGCTCTCAAAGTAATCTGCGGTTGCCAGGCAGTGCGATAGACGTCTTCTGCATATGACCTCTGTTGCATGGGGAGTTTTTCCGTGCATGCTGGTACATGTTGCACTTACAACCGAGCGGGGGGGGGGGGCTTAGATTTTTATTTTATTTTACTCCCAAGCGAGGATAAACATGATCAAGGAACTGGAGGAAAGTGTGTCAGGATTCCGCCTCTCTGCCTTGGCGGAAAGCGTGTGGCTTTCAATTAATGCAAATCTTTTAAGACCTAGATGTTCTGCATAAATTTACCCCCTCCCTACCTTTGGGTGAGAAGGATGCTGCTTGGAAATCCTTCTCAGGATCCTTCTACAGAAATGGACTTTCACTGGGGAGATCTACTCCTTCAGTTTTGTGCTGAGGGGATCCTCAGAGGAAGGAGATTTCAGGACCCTGGACAGAGCAAGAGGTTGGTTGGGTTCTACTTAAGGCCTGCTAAGGATTGGTGCCCCCTTGTTATCTCAAGAGGCAGCCCTTGACTTATAGCAATAGCACATAGACTTATATACCTTTTCACAGTGCCTTTGCAGCCCTCTCTAAGTGGTTTACAGAGTCAGCCTCTTGCGCCCAACAATCTGGCTCCTCATTTTACCCACCTTGGAAGGATGGAAGGCTGAATCATCCTTGAGTGGGTCAGAATCAAACTCCATATTGTGGGCAGAGTTGGTCTTCAACACTGCATTCTAACCACT